GCTCACGTGTATTATATTGGTCACATTGAGGTCATATTTAAATTTAAGTTTAAGTTCCTATATGACTTTTTAATAAGCAATACTTTCAGGGAAACCGAATGGCATATTTCGTAGCGCTGTCCATGGTGCTGATAATCAAGTTTGGGTATATTGTGCTGTTTTGACCCCGCTGATTTTAAAATGTGTGTCCATGGTGCTGGAATTTTGTTTATTTTTTTCTTATGTTGTTTTTTGTTGTTGTTGTTGTTGTTTGTTTGGCAACACAATTAATGACAAGTAGATCTTAGAGAATAGTCACTGGTAAAGTTTGTATTCCACCTTCTGTCACATACAGCCACATGTTTTGTATTAATCAACGTGAATCCATAATTTATTGAACAGAATAGAGCTTTGGAACATATTTACAATGTGTGTGTACATAAATAATAATTAAAAATAATTGTTGATGGGGCCACGTGTCATTTAACAATGCATATAATTGCAGGCGTAAGATCGAAAAACTGTGCAGACTGTGAACTTTTTGACACGTGTTTTGTCCTACGCACACACAGACATGAAAAGCAAAAAACAAATATTTAAATCCACAACTCCTTTTACAGTACAGTGAAAGACAATGTCGGAAAACTGTGGGGCTCAACTCTGCACCAGCGTCAACTCACTGCAGCAAAGTTTCTTTAGGTGTCGGCTGAAGTCTGTCTGTCTTAAGACTCATGCATAGCTCACTAGAAACATAGCTAACATTTAGTTGATTGGCTGGAAGAGGCAGACCTGAGCATCCTCCACAGAGTGAGACTGGGGGGCGTTTTAGCTCATCAGCTCATCACGTGTCTTTACTACTAGACTATGGACAGCATGGAGGCATATAGCAGTCGAATGTAATAGAGAAGGAGGTATTGAAGTAAAACACTTGTGATTTAGTAGCGTATTGTAGCCCACGGGCCACATGGTGTCAGTGTGGCCTAATGGTTGTGTTGCTCATTCTGCACAGGCCCTGCCCATCTATAGATCATATCTGATGGAGGTGCTATGCTGACGGAGTACACATCGTATAGGCTATGTATCAAGTAATATGAATAGCGGATAATATTTATGTGTGTACGCTTCTATTTGAGAGTCGTGAAATGGATCTAATTAGACTGGTTCGATAAGCAGTTGGATTAGTATATTTGCCGCAAAAAAAGCCTCAATTTTGTGTTTGCTTCACAATGGGAGATCGAGGACAAAGGCGCCGAGTGAACTGCTGGCTGGTTGCTGGGATTTTGTTGCTGTGCTTTGGTGAGCAGATTTTGGCCCAGTTAAGATACTCTGTTCCAGAAGAAATACAAGTGGGATCGCCTGTTGGAAATGTTGCAAAGGATTTAGGCCTTGACATTAGCACCTTGACAGACAGGCGGTTTCGTATTGTTTCGGGGCCCAATCATTCTCTTTTTCAGTTAAATCAAAACAATGGAGTGCTGTACATTGGAAAAACGATGGACCGGGAGGAGCTCTGTGATGGAATCAAGGTTTGTTTGATAAACCTTAAAATAGTTGTTGAAAGCCCACTGGAAATACATTACGTTGGCGTTGAAATAACGGATGTTAATGACCATTCACCGACTTTTCCTGAAAGCGAGCAGCGACTGGAAATAGCGGAGCATACTCCTCCAGGTACTCGTTTCCAAATCCATGCGGCTAGAGATCCTGATGTCGGTGCACAGGCAGTTCGATTATATAAGTTGAGCCAAAATGATTTTTTTGATATTGAAATCAGAGACAGTGAGGAGGACAAGATACCGTTTTTAGTGCTGAAAAAGCCTTTGGATAGGGAGCAAAAGGCAGAACACTGTTTAGTGTTAACGGCTCTTGATGGAGGCAGTCCGTCGAAATCTGGGAGCCTTAATTTAACTATAACTGTGATAGATATAAACGATAATCGCCCTGTGTTTAGCAAAGATACATATAGCGTGACAATATATGAAAACTCCCCGATAGGAACTCTTGTAATACAATTAAACGCCACAGATTTAGATGAAGGTTTGAACAGCGAAATTGAATACATGTTTGGAAAAACACAAAAGAAAAAAGTGCAAGACACATTTGAGTTAGACAGCGTCACTGGGGAGATTCGAGTAAAAGGAAAAGTGGACTTTGAGGACACGGAGATTTATAGACTAGATTTACAGGCTTCAGATAAAGGTCAGCCACCTTGGACGGCCGAAAGTAGAGTTGTGATAAAAATCAAGGATGTGAACGACAATAAGCCAGATATTGAAGTAACATCATTGTCTAATGTAGTCCCCGAGGATTCAAAGCCTGGCACTGTTATCTCTCTCATCAGTGTTACGGACAGAGATTCGGGGGTTAACGGAAAAGTTATTTGTAAAATCTCGGATGATGTTCCGTTTGATTTAACACCATCCATTGAGGAAAACATGTACTCTCTTGTCACAAAGGGGCGTTTAGACCGAGAAATTGAATCCCATTATGACATCACGATAACAGCTACTGACTGTGGTGAACCTCCACTTTCCACTGTAAAAACCTTGAGTGTCCAGGTGTCTGATGTAAATGACAATAGACCAGTTTTCAGTCAGAATCCATTTGAACTTTATTTGGTAGAAAACAATGCCCCAGGCGCATCAATATTTTCTGTAAGTGCTGCTGATAATGACTTGAATGAAAATGCAGCAATAACATATCACATTGTGAGAGGTGATGGGCTGACATCTTTCCTAAATGTGAATTCAGATAATGGACAAATATCCGCTCTAAAAAGTTTTGAAACTCTGAAAACGTTCCAGTTCCAAGTGTTTGCCTCAAGATTCTGGAACTCCGTCACTTAGCAGCCAAACGTCACAGTGAACGTGTTTCATTCTGGATCAGAACGATCAACGCTCCAGTCATCCTGTAGTCCAGTTCAGCTTCAACGGTTCTGGCTTTGAAGGTGTGGAGGAGATTCCCGCAATGTAGAAACGCATGGACACTTCGGTGACTAAGTCAGAGCCTTTATGACGCTGATATAGGATATAACGGCTGGTATAAACTGTTTTCACTGCCAGGAAAGTTTACTGACCACAGCTACTCTCTTTGGTTTGGGACCGTCTAATACAGGAACAAGCATCCAGGACACAGCTTCGCTCATTTCACAGAGACAGACGAGGCCCCGAGCATAAAACTTGTCCCATACTGGTGATAAAGACAATGGGAACGTTTCAACTCTCCAGCACACAGCTCACTGTCGGATTGGTCAAACTTGTGGAGCCCAAAGAGGCTTTTGCAGCTTCCTGAATGTTAAAAGTGCAACCAAAGTTGACGAGGAGGACAATGTTACATTTTATCTGATGATAACTTTGGGCCCTCAGTATTCTGTACTTTTCTCTCGTCAGTATCAATCGTGCTGATTTGCAAATGCAGTGCTCTAAATCCCACAGACCTATACTTCTAAATTCATCTAGGACAAGAAGCCTAATATTATGACGGGACAACCTGTGTCACAGCCATCCAAGTACCAGATCTGGAGACAAGACAGGTACAAATTTTTAGTTGGACCCAGAATGAGTATAGGATCTTACTATAGCTGACGGGCCAAGCCAAGCAAAATACACTAGTGCTTCCTGACAGGAGACGTCCATCTGGAGAGGTAAGCCCATGTTTCAATTTTAATTGAAGCTGTTTTTCATGCACTCACAGATCACTTACTGCGGGTTACCTTAATATTATTTCCCCTTAACAGATATGATTACCTTTAGAAGCAAATCACAAGCACATGGTAAATAATGTTTACTGTGTAGAGAGAAAAAGAGCTGAAATGTTTCATGACGTTTTCATATTCTTATCAATGTCCCTTTATGTCTCTCTTGAAATTAGTTAAAGTGATCAGGCTGCTAAGATGACACGATATTTCGTGTGGCGCTATTTATGGTTTACGTCCTAGTACTGTCTAAGGTGTTGAAGTGCAGGTTATTGGTCACACTGTGGGGATATTTAAGTTGGGTTTTATGTTTCCATTTGGAAATGACTTCTTAAAAAGTTTTTAAAAGTTTTGCTTTCTTAAAAAGGAGGAAAGCTATACGAAAATAACAGCATATTCTGTACCGCTGTCCATGGTGCTGACTTTCCCACTTAGTTATATTGTTGCGATTTTCATTGCAGTCAGAGTTTTTATGGAAGCCGAACCGCCATGTATTTGTTATGTTGAATGCATACTTTTTGTATTCGCACCCTACACCCACACTTCAAATTAGCAAATAACTCGCGTTCTTAGCTACTACCTACTATACTACTACTAATCCAGTTAGAAGTCCGGATGTATCTTGTCCAAATCCAGTGGTTCCTATTAATTCGCATTATGAAAGTCTATTAGCACACCCTTCAAACTTGTTCGAGTAATGCTATCCATTACAATGCCTTCAGTCTGCAAAGGTCTCTCCAAAGTAACATTTTTGTAAAGGGAATTCAGCAAACACGTTTTTCTATACTTCATTGCCACGATCAGATAATGTAAAACTGACAAACATGAATTCAGACATGGTTTTCACACAACATAAGCAAGTTTCAGAGTATGTTAATAGAGTGTTATGTATTTGTTTTTACTGATCAAGGAAGCTAGTTTCCCTTATAGTTTGATTTCAATGGGCAACTTGATGCTTTCAAAAACGGTCAGCAAAAACAGAAATTATTTAAGGAGCTAAAATGTATTTGCAAACATATTGATATGATTTATGTCGCTGCTTGCCTTAAAAGGAGGTCATTATCTGCCCAGTCCACAAGGTGTCAGTGTCATATCAGCATCAACTGTTGTGTTATATACATTGGCCCTGCCCCTTCAGAGAGGTTTTGTTCAGGGCGACGGAGAAGAGGTAGTACGTTCAACAGAGAGAGTGTTGCCGTTGTGGTATTTTTACATAGATCGTTTCAAAATATGGGATATTTTCAAACCGTATATTTTTAGGCTTAGGCTTTTACCCTTTTTTCGTAAGGACCTGTGAGTGGATATAATAATAATAACATTTGAAACGATGGGAGTCGGAGGACAAAGAAGAGGAATACAATCCTGGTGGTTAGCCATCCGTTTTTCTGTAATGCTCAGCTGTGTGGAGTGGGTTTCAGCTCAGATAAAATATTCAGTTCCAGAGGAAGTACAAGTGGGATCCGTTGTTGGAAATGTCGCCAAGGATCTAGGATTGGACACCAGTTCGCTGCAGGAACGACGGTTTCGTATTGTTTCGGGAACTAAAGATGCTCAGTTTGAAGTAAATCAGAACAATGGCGTCTTGTATGTGCATAAGAACATCGATCGAGAGGAGCTTTGTGAAAGCGTTTCTCCGTGTTTAATGAACCTAAAAATGGTAGCTGAGAACCCCATGGAAATACATTATGTTGGAGTTGAAATCATAGATGTAAATGATAATTCACCGAGCTTTCAAGAGGAAGAAAAAATATTAGAAATTCCTGAGTCCATTGTTCCTGGCAAACGTTTCCAGTTACCAACTGCGCACGATCCAGATGTTGTCACCAATACTGTGCGTGTGTATAAATTAAATCAAAACGAATATTTTAGTATACAAATCCGAGAGAGAGGAGAGGACAAGATACCATTCTTAGTTCTACAAAAGACTCTGGATAGAGAAAAGCACCATGAGCACAGATTGATTCTGACAGCAGTTGACGGTGGAAATCCACCGAGATCAGGGACACTTAATGTCACAGTTATAGTTCTCGATTCCAATGATAACCATCCTACATTTACACAAGAAGTGTATTCAGTAACAGTACCTGAAAATGTAGATGCAGATACAAGTGTTATTAGGGTAAAGGCAACTGATGTGGATGAGGGCCCAAATGGAGAAATTGAATACTATTTCGGGGGTGAACTTGACCGGAAGATATATGATGTGTTTAGCTTAGATAAAGACACCGGTGAAATTCGAGTAAAAGGAGAAATTGACTTTGAGAAGGTTGACGTTTTTAAGTTAGACGTCCATGCAACTGACAAAGGACAGCCTCCAATGACTACCGATTGCAGGGTGATCATTAAAGTGCTCGACAAAAACGACAACAAACCTCAAATAGAAGTAACATCCCTGTCAAACATGGTGGCTGAAGACTCAAAACCTGGGACTGTGGTTTCCCTTATTAGTATTACAGACCAAGACGGCGGTTTAAACGGTAAAGTAATATGTAGTCTTTCAGATAATGTGCCATTCGATTTAAAACCATCTTTTCAAGATAATATGTACTCATTAGTTTTGAAACAGCATTTAGATCGAGAATCAGTTTCGCATTATGACATCAAAATAACAGCTACAGACTGTGGTCAGCCTCCTCTGTCTACATTCAAAACTTTAAGTATTGATGTATCAGACGTGAATGATAATGTCCCAGAATTTTTGCATAATCCAATTGAACTTTATCTGGTAGAAAATAATGTGCCTGGAAACCCTATATTTTCTGTTACTGCTACAGATAAAGACTTAAATGAAAATGCAGCTTTAACTTATCATATAGTTAGAGAGGAAGGTAGTCAAATAAAAATTGCAGCATTTTTGAATATCAATTCAGATAATGGACAAATATCC